CTGCACTCCAGTCTGGGCGACCGAGTGAGACTCCAACTCAAAAAAAAAACAAAACAAAAACAAACAAACAAACAAACAAAATGGTTTGTCTATTAGAATCCCAGACACAGATTCAGAGATATAAGAATAACATCACTGAACAAGGCGATGCTAAACCAAACAACTCTGAAAAAAAAAAACAAACACAGATTCAGAGATATAACAATAAAACAGAATCACAGTCAACCTCCCCCTGGAAGATAGTAGGTCTCCATCTCAGCCATTAACAGCTGTTTAACCAAGGGCCTGGCCACTCATAGCCCAAGAACAGATCACCTATACCCTGAGAGCTGAGTTCCTCTTGACCTGCAGGATTGTTGGGAGGCGTAAATGATCCAGGTGCAGTGCCTAGCCTGGTAAGGGCTTTCAATGACAGTGGTTATGGGCTTGAGAGTTATGAAGCACATTAGCTCTGTTGATAACTAACTAAAGTAGAAGTCTGTCTTTATTAATATTGTGCTCCAATGTTTATCCATCACCCTGCAAGAAAACGGTGTGTCCCCATGCTCCATAATCAGTGCCACCAGCAGTTGATGTGAGGAAGCTGGTAGAGAATGAGCTGCAGCAGATCCACATTTTAACAGTGCCTTTAACTCTGGAAAGCACAATATGTAAACTGGCAGTGTAAATATTAAATGTGATGATTTTAAATAAGTGCTTGGCATAGTTCATGGCACATGGTAAGGAAGATTCTGTAAAAGTCAACTGCTCTTCCTTGTTTGTTAATGTTATTATTTATACTGCTGTTGCTACCACTGCTTCTACATATTTGACATATTGGCATTCAGATTGGTTATGTGAATTTCTGAATAATGGTATTTTTTCCTCAGGTTTACTTAAAATTTTGCAAATTTGCTTCGTTTTCTCTTCATATGTGTTTACTTTGGTGGTTTCTTTTTCTTTTTCTTTCTTTCTTTTTTTTTTTTTTTTTTTAACCTGCTGGGCTCAGTTATACCTTCTGCCTCAGTCTTCCAAGTAGCTAGGACTACAGTCACACACGACCATGCCCAGCTAATTTTTGTTGTCTTGCCATGTTGCCCAGGCTGGTCTCTAACCCATGGATTCAGGCAGTCCTCTCGCATCTGCCTCCCAAAGTGCTATCTCAAGAAGAATCTTTTCTTTTTTTTTTGAGTCGGAGTTTCTGTCACCTAGGCTGGAGTGCTGTGACACGCTCATGGCCACCATAGCCTCGACCTGCTGAACTCAGGTGATCCTTCCACCTCAGCTTTCCAAGTAGCTGGAACTACAGATGTGTGCTGCCACACCTGGCTAACTTTTGATTTATTGTAGAGATGAGGTCTCGCTGTGTTGCCCAGGTTGGTCTCAAACCCATGGACTCAGGCAGTCCTCTTGCCTCTGCCTCCCAAAGTGCCAGGATTACAGACGCGAGCCACCACACCTGTCTTTGGTGATTTCTTAATGTGATTTAAAATGTCACTCATTAAAATGTAAGAAATAAGTCATCTTATCTTTTAAGTATGTTTAATTAAAGTGCTGATTGGATAAAAAATTACTCTGAAACACTCTTTGTCATAGCATATCGGTCTTTCTTGAAATTTACTCTTTTATTTATGCTTTAATAATGTATTTTTAAAGCAAATAAAGATGTATTCTTTGTATTACATCCCAGGTATCTAGTCATATGGCATATGACTTCAAAGAAAAAGTAGCCCTTTCACCTCTACAAGGGCACAACTTAGCATGGGCCGAGATTCAAGATGGTGCCCGTCTACACTCTTCAACAAGGTAAGCAGTTTACAGAATACATAGTTTCAATGTCTTAAACTGCTTTCCTGTATAACAGACATATAGTATTTGCAGTATAAGTACTATTTTAATTGTATGCTGTAATTCATTTTGGTGTTATATAATTCTGTGGCAGTTTTAGTCTTGCCAAGGAAATTTACAAAGTTAGGTGCTCAGTAAAAGTTTAATAAATGAATCAATTTTTGCTAATTCATTAGTAAAGGAAAAAGGCATACTGGCTTGTATTATTTGTCATCACTATTTATTAAAAAATGGTTTTCCCCAAGACAAGTCCTCTAGCAGTGATGCTAACCAGTTTACATGGCACAAATAGTACTAAAAGACCTTCCTATGTGCAGTCATTATTTCTGATTTTGAATATTCACCATATGCTAGTGTTTGATCTCTCTGTGCTATATGGCTAAGGTCATGTGCCATGTGCCTTACCAGGCTAGGCAGTGCACCTGGATCATTTACTCCTCCCAACAATCCTACAGGTCAAGAGGAACTCAGCCTTCAGGGGATAGCTGATCTGTCCGTCGGCTATGAGTGGGCAGGCCCTTGGTTAAGCAACTGTTAATGACTGAGATGGAGACCTACTATCTTCTGCCCATTTTCAAAGGGAAGAGGGAAGTTTACTGTGATTCTGTTTTATTCTTGTATCCCTGGATCTGTGTTTTACATTTTAATACACAAACCATTTTGATAAACAATACATTTAAGTTAGGACACAAATGCATGATTGATACTCCCAAAATAAAAATAAATCAGTGGAAGAATTCTTAAAATTAAAGGTACTCATCACATCATGCTTTATAATGGAGGATAATATACCTAAGCAAAAGTGAAAGATTAGCAGGTGGTAGAGACTCCAAAAGGTATTCTGACATTTTCAGCTGCCAAATGCATTCCCAGTGTCAGAGGTTGGATATGAGGGGAAGGAGGCAAAGGAAAGGAAGGAGCAGATATTTAAAAGGGGGTAGGAATGAGTTGTGATGTGGCAGACCAGCAGGAGGGTACACGCAGCCCCTGGGACCCAGCTTCTCCCCGGACCTCTGCCAGGGAGACCTCACCTGCTAAACCACAAGGAGGTCACCAGGAGCTCCCTGACCTTGCAGTTCATGGTGCTTCTGCACATACAACTTAATATGCATAAACTGTTCTTAAGCCAGTCTGCATTGAATATAAAGAATGACCCAAGAAAGGAATATTTTCCTTTTCTAGCTCTTTCTATCTAAAAGAAGTAAAGTAAAATATTATAACAGAGTATACCAGAATTAAAAGTTCAAATTAACTAATGGTAACATAACTGAATAATGACAAAATCTGTCATGATGACCAGCTTAAGAAAAATATTCTAGTAAAATATTTCCAGCATTATTTATATGTTAAGCTTAGTCAAATTGTCATTGTTTATACTAAAGAAGTACCATAGTGTAGTTTTAAAAAGGATTGTGAATTTATAACTACAAAACTAGTTTAAAAACCTATCTTTGCTACATATTGACATTAACCTTGGCAAGTTACTTAGCCTTTCTGACCCTTGGTCAACTCATTAGTAAATGGGAACATAATACCTAACCAACATATACTGACTGGGTTGTTTAGAAGATTAAATTAGCTCCTGGATATAAAAATGCTTAAAAACATTCTGAAACATATTAGTACAGGTTGAGCATCCAAAATCTGAAAATCTGCGCTTCAAAATGCTCTGAAATATGACATGATACTCAAAGAAAATGCTCAGTTGAAGCATTTTGACTTTCAGATTTTTGGATTTGAGATACTCAACTGGTAAGTATATAATACAAATATCCCCAAATCTGAACAAATTAGAAATCCAAAACACTTCTGGTTCCAAGCATTCAGATAAGGGATACTCAACTTGTACTAATATATAATATTACTGAACACTTACTGTATGCCAACCATCGTTTTGCTCAAATACTCTAACTTCTTTCTAGGACAGCATGTCAGTGTTCCCTGCAGCCTCCTTCACAGAGTAAAATCTCCTCTGAGTAAGATATTTTTGACCTCTTAATTTTGCATAGTGGGAATCAAGAATTATACAAACCAATATTAAATAAGTAAGAATTGAGCACTAATCTTTGTTTTAATTGACAAGTAATAATTATACATATTCATGGGGCACATAGTGATGCTTTGATACATGTAATATATAGTGACTAGATCCATTTAATTAGCATCCATCTTCTCATTTATGATTTCTTTATGTTGAACATTTTCTAGCCCTTTGGAACTGTACATTGACTATGGTTATCCTAAAATAGTATAGAAACTAGAACTTATTTCTCCCATCTAGCTGTAATAGTGTATCCTTAACAGATATCTCCCTGTCCCTTCCTTCTCCCTACCCTTCCCAGCCTCTTGTATCCTCTATTTGACTTTTTCCTTCTATGAGATCAACTTTTTTTTAGCTCCCACAGATGAGTGAGAACATGCAGTACTTAACTTTCTGTACTTGGCTTATTTCATTTAATGTTCCCCCAGTTCCATCCATGTTGCCCTGAAGGACAGAGTCTTATTCTTTTTTATGGCTAAATAATATTCCATAGTGTATAGTTACCACATTTTCATATCCATTCATCTGTGAACACTAATCCTTCTTACACCTAGCTTTGGGGTACCAATCATATAATACATGCTAAATTTGAAAAAAATGACCAGAATTTTCTGGAATAATTATCAATCACTTCATTTTTATCTTCACTAGAAATTTGTCCTTAAGTTAGTAATGCTTGCTATTTCTGTTCTTGTTTGTTTGTTTGTTTTTGTTGCAATGGGAATTTTTCTAAGTTGCCCAGACTGGTCTTGAACTCCTGGGCTCAAGCAATCCTCCTACCTCAGCCTTTCAAAGTGCTGGGATTACAGGCTTGAGCCACTGCACCTGGCAATACCTGCTAATAGCACATAATTACTACTCATAATTTGTGGGGAGGGTTTTAAGTAAAAATAATAGCGTTTCAGAGAAATGTTGATGTTTGTTAGCTCAGGACGCCTTCCTAGAGATTTCTTTTTTTTTTTTTTTTGAGTCGGAGTCTCACTCTGTCACCCAGACTGGAGTGCAGAGACTTCATCTCGCCAAATTGCCCAGGCGGGTCTTGAACCTGCAGACTCAGGCAATCCACTCACCTCAGCCTCCCAAAGCGTGGGATAACAGGCTGAGCCACCAAGCCAGCTTCTAGAGATTTCTAAACTCACCAGTTCTTTGCAGATATTTTATTTGTAGTCTTTAATGCTGCTTTAATTAAGTTACACTTTTTTCAGGGAGAATAATCTCTTTTATAAAATTTCATTTATTTCCAAACATGCTGTTTTTAAGCAAGCAAGACCCTGTGAATCAGTTTGGAAATAGAACTTTTTGTGAAACATTTAAATCTATTATCTGATTTGCTTATTAACTTTTCCTCTTATATTTGCTTATTCAGTAACTGAGTAGTTACTTGCTACTTTTATTTCAGGTAGTTAAAATCAAATTTACAACAATATCTTAATTTTCTTATCACAGCAACTAAAATATAGTTATCTCATAAGATAGATAATAGAGCTTTGTGTTCAGGTAATTAAAAACTACCACAATATTTATGTGTACACATTTTCCCATTAGACTTTTTGTTCGCTTCTTCAAACATTTTGAGAAAAAAATTAATTTTTCTGCTCAGTAAATTTTCCAACTTAACACAAGTCACTGTCCTGAGAGTAGGAGAAGACTCTCTGACTGAAGCTCCTGCAGGGGGCCTCGCTGGAGCTCAGGTGTCTGCTGGACACAGCCAGAGGCCAGCGGGAATTCCACTCTCCTCACTGCACAGGAACATGGGCTCCCCACAGATCACACGTGATTGTCCTCTTGCCCTTCGCCACTATCTTCTGTGTTTTGTTTAATTCTGCATTTTTACTGCTATGACTGTTGCAGACATCTAGGAAATAGTACTCTACTGGGTAATAATTCCTTTTGAATATTTATCATTGCATAATTTGAGGAGGTAGACGTTTGTTTGTTTTATACTATTCCCCTTAATAATATGAGGTAGAAAAGTCACTATTGTTTCTTACGTTTTTGGAGTAAGCCATAACGTTCATGCTGTGTATCATCTTTGCAGTGACGAAGAACTGCTGTATCTGAGCTTCATTGAAGATATAACAGTTGACATTTTGAAACTTGGTCTGTTTTCAAACAGGTTAGATGTTTTAAACTGTGTTGTGGCAGTTGAGCAGGACATTAAATATTCTTTATATTTCTTCATTGGTTATTAATTTTTTAACTTATTTCTACATATTAGGAAATGAAACAATATATTGCTTTTTAGAATCATATTCTTATATAACTGATAGCAAGTTGTTTTGGTTTTTTTTTTTGAGTTGGAGTCTCACTCTGTCGCCCAGACTGGAGTGCAGTGGCCGCTCCCGGCCACCGCAGCCTCAACCTTCTGGGCTCCGGCGATCCTTCCGCCTCAGCCTTCCAAGTAGCGGGAACTATAGGTGCGTGCTACCACGCCTGGCTAATTTTTTGATTTATTGTAGAGATGAGGTCTCGCCAAGTTGCCCAGGCAAGTCTCGAACCCACGGGCTCAGGCAATCCACTCACCTCAGCCTCCCAAAGCATGGGATTACAGGCTGAGCCACCCAGCCCAGCAACTGATAGCAAGTTGTAAAGAATGTTTAGTTCATACTGTAAGGCAGGTTCCCAGTTTGAAGAAATTATTATTTTATTCACCAAAATGTTATTATTCCTTTGCTTATAACATGAGTAAAATAAAATGTTTGCTGCCGCTTTGCAAAACTCCATAATATATTTTTACTGTCTGAAACTGTCATGAAAATTAAAAGCAGGCAATTTTTTTGTTACAACTGTTACTAGTATTAGATCTAGTAAAATAAGGACAAATTAGAAACTAGGTTTGCATACTCTAAGTGAAATAGAAAGTTTGTAAAACCAGATTAGGTATTGCATATCTTAAGGAAATTGTGTGTCCTGAACTAGCATGCATCTGAAATCCACTGGCAGGAGGCCTTACTTTGTGTTACGTAATGTAGGGCCCTAGCATGTATACTGTGTGCTTTCTCTGTTGTAGTCATATGCCAGGCACAGGCATTTCTAATACATTATTTACATCCTCTACGTTTTTTTTTTTTAATTAAAGCAAATATTTTCATTGTTGATATAAAAAGATATACCAAAAAGACCTATATTTTTGGCAATAATTCTGTTTGCCTCTTTCATTTAAAAGTGGTTTAAAATGTTTACTTGGCCAAGCTCGGTGGCTCAGCTTGTAATCCCAGCACTTTGGGAGGCTGAGGCGAGTGAATTACCTGAGCCTGTGGGTTTGAGACCAGCCTGGGCAACTTGGTGAGACCTAGTCTCCACCAAAAAAAAAAAATTAGCCGGACTTGGTAGCATGCACTTATAGTTCCGGCTACTTGGAAGGCTGAGGCAGAAGGATCACCAGAGCCCAGCAAGTCGACGCTGGGGTGGCCGTAAGTGTGCCACTGCACTGCAGTCTGGGCAACGGTGAGACTTCAACTCAAAAAAGAAAAAAATGTTTACTTAAATTGGGTATAGAGTTTCAGCTCTACAAGAGGAAAAGTTTTGGTGATCTGTGTCACAACAATATGAGCATATGTAACACTACTAAAACATACAATTAAAAATGGTTAAGATGGTAAGTTTTGTTATGTATTTGAGCACAAAAAATATGCATACAAAATCATATGTATTTATGCTTAAAATTGTACATTTTTCTCTTAAGATCATAGGGCTATTTATGGCATCTTTTATAATAGTACCAAAAGACTGAATCAAACGAAATGTTGAATAGTAAAAGTTTTACTGAGCCGGGCTTGGTGGCTCAGCCTATAATCCTGTGCTTCAGGAGGCTGAGGTGAGTGGATTACCTGAGCCTGTGGGTTCAAGACCCACCTGGGCAACTTGGCGAGACCTCAAAAAAATTAACTGGGCGTGGTAGCGTCCGCCTACTTGGAAGGCTGAGGCGGAAGGATCGCCAGAGCCCAGTAGGTTGAGGCTGCAGTGGCCAGGAGCGGCCACTGCACTCCAGTCTGGGTGACAGAGTGAGACTCCAACTCAAAAAACACAAAACAAATCAAAAGTTTTGCTGAATAAATTGTAGGATATTTGAGAGAGTAATAAGATCTCCTCAGTGGTTAAGAATATTTTTAAAGAATTTATATGTACAGAAAGATATTCAAAATATATATAGTTGGCCAGGCTCGTGGCTCAGCCTGTAATCCCAGCACCTTGGGAGACCAAGGCGAGTAGATTGCCTGAGCCCGTGGGTTTGAGACCAACCAGGACAACTTGGTGAGATCTCATTTCTATAATTAAAAAAAAAAAAAAAAAGTTAACCGGGTGTGGTAGCACGTGCCCGTAGATCCAGCTACTTTTGGAAGGCTGAGGTGGAAGGATGGAAGGATTGCCTAAGCCCAGCAGGTCGTCACTGGGATGGCCATGAGTGTGCCATGGCACTCCAGCCTGGATGACAGAGTGAGACTCCAACTCAAAAAAAAAAAAAAAAAAAAAAAAAAAAAAATATATATATATATATATATATATATGATTGGAAAAAACAAGATAGATACTCAAACAACAGTATGCATTGTTTAATTCCAGTTTTTGTAAATAAATATATATGCATAGAAAAATACTTAGTAGTGAATATTCTAAAATGTTAACAGTAGTTATAAAAAATAGAGTACAGATTTCATGGGTCTTTTAAAAATTGCTCAGTAACTCAGAACTGCTGACTCTAAGGTTGGCTCATAACTTCACTGATGATAACAAAGGGAATTCGTTGTTTTTTAAGAACTTATTGATGCATTCATGTGATAGAGAGAGGAGCATGGTGTTTTGGAAAGAATAATTCTCTGGAGCCAGGCACATCTAGGTTAAATTCTAAAGGCTTGTGCCTTAAGGGAGAGGAAATTATTGTCTTAGAGGTGCAGTTTTCTTATCTTTAAAATGGTTTTTACCATAACTTTCTCTCCCAATACTGGTCAGGATTTGAGGTAAAATAATTAAATTATGTGACTAGCACAGATGTTTAGCACTTAGAGGCATTTAATAACTGATAACTTTTAAGTTATTATGTGAGTTTACCATTGGGAGATTTTTAAAAGTATAATTTGGGAGGCATTGGACAATACCTCTCTAAGAGGCTTTTCATTAGGATTTGGTTCAGGTGTGTGTGTGTATGTATGTAAGAGAGAGCCAAGGGGTAGAGGCTTTTGGTATTTGCATACATCTGTGAGAGAAAAATAGCTTTTGGATGTGTGTGAGAGAGAGGAGAATTACAATCAGAAGAAGTGAAAGTAGTCTACAGTCTTTCAGAAGCACTGGCATCCACTGTGGTATCCATGTCTTGAAGCCAGTGTACAATGGGAGAGCTCGACGGGACAGGGAGGGAGTAGTCTTCAGTTCTAGAGAGAAAAGTCAATCTAAAACATATTCCCCAACCGCTAGTAATTTCAGTATTGCATGACTATATTTAGTTGGTTTTCTGATTTTGAGATATTAATGTACTTGTTTATCACTATAGGTTTCTAGAACGACTGTTCGAACGGCATATTAAGCAAAATGAACATTTGGAAGAGGTGCGTCTTTCCTTAGAACTTCATTAGAAAAACTGGACTGTAGAGATAAATTTGAAGTTCTCCTGTGCCCTCAAAGAACACATTAAAAAGCAAGCCCTCTTCTCCCTTGAATAAGGGTGATGGGTGGGAGGGGAGTGGAAGGGGAAGTATTAATCCTGCAGATGCGTGGCACTGCAGACAAAAGCAGCTTCATTGGACCAGCGGCATTCATCTTGTTCTTCCCATCTTCTTTTCTAGGAGAAGATGCGCCACCTGCTGCGTGTCCTGAAGGTGGATTTAGGCTGCAGCTCCAAGGAAAGCTCTGGAAGGCCAAGTGATAGGGATATGTTGCACTTGCTTGATGTTGAAACGGCTGACAGTTCAGAGCAAAATGAGTTTAAAAATAAACACAGGGTAACAATTCAACAGGAATGCCAAGAATACCATGAAGCTTTGGACATGTTACTGTCTGCACCAAAGGACGAGAACGAGATACCCTCTTCATCGGGTGGGTTTTTCATGCCCATCCATAAACCAAAGACTTCAGAAGGGGTTATAATTCAACAAGTGAATGATGAAACAGATATGGAACCTTCAACTTGGGATGAAAACAACCCAAGCATTTCAGACAGTTTAACAGATCAGGAAACCTCTGTGAATGTCATTGAAGGTGACAGTGACACCGAAAAGGTTGAGATTTCAAACGAATTATGTTGTCTTGACACACCACTCTCCCAGTCTGTCCAGTTCTCCAGTGTCAGCGGTGACAATACTGACATGGAATCATCAACTCTTAAAATCATGGATATGAGCATCAACGACTGCCCCATGGCTGTTTAATCCTCATTAATAAATACCTCAAATGGCCAGTAACTCAGTATTACTTTTCTTCTTCTTTTAATACATGCTAAGATTTCTGTATTAGTTTTTGTGTTGCATAATAATCATAAATTTAGTGGCTTAAAACGCCACATGCTTATGATTTATTCCACAGTTTCTGTGGATCAGGAGTCTAAGCACAGTGTAGTTAGGTTCCCTGCTCTGGGTCTTACAAGGCCATACCACAATCAGGGCAGTGGTTGGGGCTGTGCTTTCACTAGGGGCTGGAATAGGGAGAATCTGCTTTCAAACTCTTCTTAGGTTGGTGGCAGAATTCTTCTCCTTGGACCTGTAGGTTTCAGGCTTCATTTTCTTACTGGCCAGCAGCCAGAGGCTCTGCCACCTGGCCCTCTTCTTGGGCGGGTCATCATATGGCCACTTGCTTCTTCAAGGCCAACAGGAGAATCAGAGAGACTCTGCTAGCAAGATGGAGTCCTGCACAATGAGACATAATCACAGAACAGACATTCTGTCACCTTGGCCATGTTCTTTTGGTGAAAGCAAGTCATGCGTGTCGCCCATACTTAAGGGTTAGGGATGCCATACAAGCATGTGAATTGGGGAATTACCAGAGTCACCTGAGAACTTGTTGACCACAGTTGCTGATGTTGTTTTTCAGAGGAACATAACTGACCCAGACATCGGTGATTTTGTAGGCAATGGAAAACAGTCTATGATCTATGATCTGGTGTGGGTCTTGAAGCATTGCACCTTATCTACAGTAGCTTTCATTTCTTTATTCTCACTTTCCTGCAATAGCTGGGGCCTGAAGGACCTTTCAGCCATCGGTGAGCTGGGGCTTCAGCTACCTGAAATCCTGCCTCTTCTGGTGAGTTCACACACCCTGTCAGACCTGTCTGACACCCTTCCCTTAGCCTTGTCATTCATGAATGGGACCCTATTAGGACATGTCTCAGAAGATTCATCTCTATGTCTTTTCAACTATTTACAACAATTGAATATTTCAGTACCTGTTATAAACAATGTGTTATGCCTAGGCACTGCAGAGGATAAACACAATAATAACCCAAGTATTATAGAAGCTTAGCAATGGCCTCCAAGTGTCCTCTTCTTTAACTCAGACTCTGATAATCCTTTGGCCACACCAGTTTTTCCCAAAGGGTGGCACGTACCACTAAGATATGAGAGTTAATTTTTAGTGGTAGATGTAGGACCAGTCCATCTCATTTGTGGGAAGCTGACCATCACCACAGTATTCAGGATTCAGACTCAGGAGCAACCTGTCAAAAGCAATGTGGCGATCTGAACATCGCATCTACTTCCCACCCAGCATCTGACAACCCAACATAGCCTGCTGCGGCCCTCCCTCGGCCACCTGCCCTCCGCCCTCATCTCTGGGTCTTGTCTCCACAGCCCTCTAAGCAGCACCTTCATCCCCATCCTGTAGTCCTGTTAAGCCTTCTGACGTCCCCTCAGCTCTGCTCTTGGATCCCAGCCTGGGCCTCCCTAGCCATCAGCCCTTACCTCTCTATCGACCTCTCAGCCTCCACCCTTCTCAGCCCTAGCCCCTTTTGCAATCCTCTCACCTCATCCCCCTTGTGATTACCTCAGGCCTACTGCCCTGGTCAAAGTTTCCTTCCTTGGCTGGAGCTGCCATTTTTCTCGAGGCATTCCCAGTAACCGTCTTCCAGCTGCTGTTCTCCACCCTTCGGACAAAGCCCTACAGACTGGCTTCCACCTGCCCAGGCTTCCCCATGTCTAACTCTTGAGTGCAGCTTATTATCTCTGGAGGGATAAGCCACCTTAACGTGGGTGCCTGTTAAGACATGTTGTTATCCTCTAGCTTCCCTGTTTTTGTTTTTACCTTTTTATTTTTTATTATAATACAATTATAAAAATAAAAAAGACAGATTTTATAGCAATAAATAGCACTTGACTGCCTAGCACCTCCTCACCCCACCCCCCACCCAGTTTGACGCCTCAAACATAACTTTTGACTCAGCAGCTTTCTCGTATTTATTCCAGATTTCTGTTTTTATATTTATATTACCACTTCCTAATTTTTTCATCTTATACATTATCTCTTCTTACTTTTCAAGGATTTTTTTTCTTTATTTCAATAGCTTTAGGGGATACAAATGGTTTTTTATTACATGACTGCATTGTATAGTAGCAAAGAGGTCTGGGCTTTAAATGCACCCACCACCCCTACCTGTGCACATTGTACCCAATAGGTGATTTTTCATTCCTCCATGCTTTCCTGCCTCCCGCTTCGAGTCTCCAGTGTCCATGACTTCATTCTCTGTACCTTTGCAGCCTCTTAGTTTCGCTTCCACTTATGAGTGAGAACATGTGGTGTTTGGTTTTCTGTTCCTGTGTTACTTCACTAAGGATGATGATCTCCAGTTCCATCCAAATTACTGCAAGACATGATTTCATTCTTTTTGACAGCTGAATAGTATTCCATGGTGTAGTATACCACATTTTCATCATCCACTGATAGGTTGGGCTCTTAAATTGATTCTGCATCCTTGCAGTTGTAAATTGGGCTGTGATGAAATTGCTGGTACAGGTGCCTTTTTAATATAACGATCTCTGTTCCTCTGGGTAGAAGTGGGCAGACTGGACAAATGGTAGATCTGTTTGGTTCTTTGAGAAATCTCCACACCAATTTCCACAGAGGTTGTACTAACTTAACACTTAAACCAATAGCATATAAGCGTTTCCTTTTCACTGCACCTGTACCAGCATTTATTGTTTTTTGTTTTTGTAGTAATTTAATGGCCATTCTGACTGGTGTAAAGTGGTATCTCATTTTTTGATGGTTTGTTTTGTTTTATTTTTTGAGTCAGAATCTCACTCCGTTGCCCAGGCTGGAGTGCAGTGGCATGCTCACGGCCACCGCAGCCTTGACGTGCTGGACTCCTGCAATTCTCCCACCTTAGCCTTCCAAGTAGCTGGAACTACAGGTGTGTACTACCACTCCCAGCTTTTTTAAAAAATTTATTGTAGAGATGAGGTCTCAACGAGTTGCCCAGGCTGGTCTCGAACCCCTGAGCTTAGGCAATCCTCTTGCAACGGCCTCCCAAACCACTGTAATTTTAATTTGTATTTCCCTGATGATTAGTAATATTGAACATATGTTTGTTGTCTATTTGTATATCTTCTTTTGACAGATGTCTGTTCATATCATTTGCCTACTTTTTAATGGGGACATTTGCGTTTTTTCTTGCTGATTTGAGTTATTTGTAGATTCTGGATATTATCAGATGTATAGCTTAGGGAATATCCTCTCCCATTCTGTAGGTTACCTATTTACTCTGTTGATTATTTCTTTTGCTGGCATAAGGCTTTTCATTTAATTAAGTCTCACTTATTTACTTTTGTTTTAGCCGCATTTGCTTTTGGGGTTTTATCCATAAATTTGTTGCCTAGGCCAATGTTCAGAAGAGTTTTTCCTAGTTTTTTTTCTAGGACTTTTATGGTTTTAGGGCTGACACTTAAGTCTTTAATCATTTAAGTCTTTAATCCACTTGAGTTAATTTTTGTATATGGGAGAGATGGAGATCATGTTTCATTTTTCTGCATGTAGCTATGCAATTTTCCTAGCATCATTTGTTGAATAGAGTATTCACTCCCCAGTGTATGTTTTTGTCTGCTTTGTTGAAGATCAATTGGTTGTAGGTATTTGGGTTTATTTCTGGATTCTCTATTCTGTTCCATATGTGTGCTCTTATACCAGTACCATGCTGTTTTGGTTACTACAGCCTTGTATAGTTTGAAGTCAGGTAACATGATACGTCCATCTCTGCTTTATGTTTAGGATTGCTTTGGCTATTCTTGGTCTTTTTTGTTTCCATATTAATTTTATAATTGTGTTTCCTAATTTTGTGAAAAATGACAGGATTGTATTGAATCTGTAGATTACTTTGGGTAATATGGTCTTTTTAACAATATTGAGTGTTCCAATCCATGAGCATGGGATGTTTCTCCATTTGTTTATGTCCATTATAATTTCTTTCATCAGTGTTTTCTAGTTCTCCTTGTTGAGATCTTTTACTTCCTTGGTTAAATATATTCCTAGATATTTTAGCTTTTTGGCTGCTATTGTAAATTGAATTGAATTCTTGATTTGTTTCTCAGCTTGGTCGCTATGGTGTATAGCAGTGCTACTGATTTTTGTGTGTTGATTTTGTATCCTGAAACTATATTGAATTCATTTATCAAGTCCAGGAGTCTTTTGGAGGAGTCTTTAGGCTTCTCTAGGTATAAGATGGTATTGTCGGCATACAGAGATAATTTTATTTCTTTTCCAATTTGGATACCCTTTATTTCTTTATATTGCCTGATTGCCCTGGCTAGGACTGCCAGTACTGTGTTGAATAGGAGTGGTAAAAGTGGGCATCCTAGCCTTGTTCCAGTTCTGTGGGAAAATGTGTTCAACTTTTCTCCATCCGGGATGACACTGGTTTTGGGTTTGAAGTATATGGCTTTTATTATTTTGAGGACTGTTTTCTCTATGCCTATTTTGCTGAGGGTTTTTATCATGAAGGGATGCTGGATTTTAACAAATGCTTTTTTGTGTCTATTGAAATGATCATCTGATTTTTGTTAATAATTATGTTTATGTAGTGGATCACACTTATTGACTTGTATATGTTGAACCATCCCTGGGATAAAACTCACTTGGTCATGGTGGATTATTTTTATGTGCTGTTGAATTTGGTTTGCTCATATTTTGTTGAATTTTTGTGTGTATGTTCTTCAAGGATATTGGTCTGTAGTTTTCTTTTCTTATTATGTCTTTTCCTGGTTTTGGTATTAGGGTAATATTGGGTTCATAGAAAGAGTTAGGGAGAATTCCCTCCTCTTCAATTTTGGAATAGCTTCAATAAAATTGGTACCAGTTCTTTGAAAGCCTGGTAGAATTCAGCTGTGAGTCCATTAGGTCCTGGACTCTTTTTGGTTGGGAGACTTTTAATCACTGTTTCAAACTCATTACTCTGTTGGTTTCTATTTCTTCCTGATTCAAGGTTGAGG